GAGTTGTCATATGGATTTCCTCAGATCAGCCTCCGATTAACTGACAGCAGTGCATGTTTGCAGGAGATGGATCTAGCAGATGAAATCTCTTTCATTAACAGTGCTGCATTCTTCTGCAGGTTAGTGTTCCTTTCTTTTCATAAAATACATTGGTGAATGTGTTTCTATTCAGAGTATTAATATAGAGCCAGGACATAAAACTGGTGTGTAGCTTTGTAGGAATATTGTAAATGATGCTGATGCTCATATTTTAATCTTAAAGCAGCCAGCACCTTTCACATTATATAGGGCCTGCGTCATATTCCCATCCGCATGGAATAGAGCATTATGCTGCATGCCTATTAAGCAAGGGGACCATGATCCCCCCAGATTCCAGAATGCCCTAACACTCTTAGAAATTGAAATTAAGAAATCCATGATTTAAGACTAATGTATTTCCAAGATGCTAGCTGTGAACTGTGGAAAATATTCAAATATACTCTTATGAACAGGATACATCCCTAAGCTATTTTTATGTCTTCAATTTTATGTTTCCTGGGCTGGAGGTGTGGGGGAGGGGGACTCTTTAACTATTTCTGGTATGAGCCAGTGATGAGGGAAGAAGGGTATCTTAAAATACTTCAGAAATAAAATTTCTGACCCAAACTGTAATAAAAGTGCATCAATTCATTTTTGCTTTTTTCAGTTTATTATATTAAGTTTAATATTGCATGGAAACAAATTTCACAAACTGGTAGAACTTAATCCTGTGAGGGCCAGGGGAGTTGCGGAGGGCTTGAGGCTGAGCCATGAGTGGAAAGGCCTGTGGCAGAGAGAGCCGCGCAGTGAGGTGCTGCTCTCTGGCCAGCTTCCTGCCACAAGGCTTGTCCAGGGTGCCTGCAGCTTTAAGAGGGGCCAGGAGACAGGAACTATAGAGTCCTGATTAATTTGGATGGAGTGTCCACCAGGGCACCTGCAGGCCTCTTTTTTCGAAGAAAAAAAAACAAAAAACAAAAAAACCCCTCCTCCTCGTCCACACACACCTTTTTCCGAAAGAGCTCTTACATGTCTTACTAATCTATTAGAGTTCTTTGAAGGGGTTAACAAACATGCGGACAAGAGGGATCCAGTAGATATAGTATACTTAGATTTTCAGAAAGCCTTTGACAAGGTCTCTCACCAGAGGCTCTTGTGTAAATTACATGGCCATGGGATAAGAGGGAAGGTCCTTTCTTGGATTGAGAACTGGTTAAAAGACAGGAAACAAAGGGTAGGAATAAATGGTCAGTTTTCAGATTGGAGAGGGGTAACTAGTGGTGTACCCCAAGGGTCAGTCCTGGGACCAATCCTTTTCAACTTATTCATAAATGATCTGGAGAAAGGGGTAAGCAGTGACGTAGTAAAGTTTGCAGATGATACCAAACTGTTTAGGATAGTCAAGACAGAAGCAGACTGTGAGGGACTCCAAGAAGATCTCACCAAACTGAGTGATTGGGCAACAAAATGGCAAATGAAATTTAATGTGGATAAATGCAAAGTAATGCACATCGGGAAAAATAACCCCAACTATACGTACAGTATGATGGGGGCTAATTTGGCTACAACAAATCAGAAAAGGGATCTTGGAGTTATCGTGGACAGTTCTCTGAAAACTTCCACACAGAGTGCAGCGGCGGTCAAAAAGGCAAATAGGATGCTAGGAATTATTAGGAAAGGGATAGAAAATAAGACCCAGAATATCTTACTGCCCCTGTATAAAACTATGGTACGCCCACATCTTGAATACTGTGTACAGATGTGGTCTCCTCACCTCAAAAAAGATAAGGGGTTTGGAATGGGTCCCATATGAGGAGAGGCTAAAGAGACTGGGACTTTTCAGTTTAGAAAAGAGGAGACTGAGGGGGGATATGATAGAGGTCTATAAAATCATGAGTGGTGTGGAGAGGGCTGATAAAGAAAAGTTATTTATTAGTTCCCATAATAGAAGAACTAGAGGACACCAAATGAAATTAATGGGTAGCAGGTTTAAAACTAATAAAAGGAAGTTCTTCTTCACACAGCGTGTAGTCAACCTGTGGAACTCCTTGCCAGAGGAGGATGTGAAGGCTATAACAGAGTTTAAAGAGAAGCTAGATAATTTCATGGAGGTTAGGTCCATAAAAGGCTATTAGCCAGGGGATAGAAATGGTGTCCCTGGCCTGTTTGTCAGAGGCTGGAGAAGGATGGCAGGAGACAAATCGCTTGATCATTGTCTTCGGTCCACCCTCTCTGGGGCACCTGGTGCTGGCTACTGTGGGCAGACAGGATACTGGGCTAGATGGACCTTTGGTCTGACCCAGTACAGCCGTTCTTATGTTAAAAAGGCTTCTTCCTTATAGAGAGAGGATTACCAACGCTGGAAAAAACCCTATGTTCTTTTGATTTACTTTTGGAGGAACACAATTGCAGTGTGGACGTAACTGAGGTTTTATCGGAAAAATGGCTGTTTTTTCCGACAAAACTTTATAGTGTAGACATACCCCCAGTCTTTTTAATCTCTCCTCAGAAAGAGCTGTTCCACATCCTTGGTCATTTTTCTTGACTTCTTCTGTACTTTTTTCAATTGTAATATACTTGTATTGACATGTAGTACTGGTTGCTCTATGCAGTATTCAAGATATAGATGTACTGTGGATTTACATAGTAGCAATATAATATTTTATCTTAATATCTATCCCTTTTCCTAACAATTGCTAATATTTTTTAGCTCTTTGTATTGCCACTATTCATTGAGCAGATGTTTCCAGAAAACTATCCTCCATGGCTGTAAGGTCTCTTTCTTGAGTGTCAGTTTAGACTTGCTCATTTTGTATGTATAATTTGGATTATGTTTTCCAAATGTGTATTACTTTGCACTCATGAACATTGAATTTCTCCTATCGTATTGCCCAGTCATCCAGTTTTGTGAGATCCTTTTGGAATTCTTCGCAGGCTGCTTTGGCCTTAAATATCTTGAGTAATTTAGTATCTTATACAAATGTTGCCATCTCACTGTTCACCCTCTTTTCCCAAATCATTTATAAATATTTTGCACAGCATAGGTCCCAGTGCAGATTCGTGGTTACCCCACAATTTACCTCTGTTCTTTGTTTTCTATTTTTAACCAGTAACTGATCCACAAGAGGACCCTCTCTCTTATCACAACACTGCTTACTTTGCTTAAGAGCCTTTGGTGTTGGACCTTTCCCAAAGTCTATCCATTGATCATCCTTAGGGTGTGTCTAGACTACCTAGTTTTGTCGACAAAAGTGGACTTTTGTCGACAAAACAATACCAGCGTCTACACTACCGCGGAGTTCTGTCGACATAACGTCGACAGAACTCCGCGGTTTTGTCGACGCTGGTATACCTCATTTTACGAGGCATAACACTTTCTGTCGACAGAACTCTATCGACAGAAGGTATTATTGCCTGTAACACTGCGTCCAGACTACGGAGTTCTGTCGACAAAGCAGCTTGCTTTGTCGACAGAACTCCATGTGTCTGGACGCAAATTGTCGACGGAAGTTTTGTCGACAGTATCTGTCGACAAAACTTCCGTCGACAAAACACGGTAGTCTACACGTACCCTTATTCACATATTTCTTGACTGTCTCAAAGAATTCTAATACATTGGTTTAAGCACTGGTCCCTTTATAAGTTTAAATGTGCAAAGTATTATTTGCGTCAAGGTATATTACAAAGCATAATATATGTATTTTACCTTTTCTGAATTCCCTGTCTTATACTATATGTTGACTGTTGATACAGATTTTGAGGTTTACATATTTTGGTGTGTATAAAAAGAGATAATGTCTTTCCAAAATAGGTGGAATACTGTTTGTACCAGCAATTTGTGCTAGTCCCTAATGCAGTGGCCCCCAACCTTTTGGGGCTGCCGGGTGCCCGGGGCCGGGGCCGCGCATGTGCTGTGTGCCCAGTGCCGGTGCCACCCATGCGCTGCACATCCGGGGCTGGCGCCGCTCACCCAGGAGCCGGCATCACCCATGCACTGCGCGCCTGGGGCCGGCTCCGCTCCTGCGCTGCGTTCCCAGGGGCGGGGATGCCCATACGCCATGCGCCCAAGGCCAGCACAGCCCATGTACCGCGCGCCTGGGGGCGGGGCTGCCCATACGCTGCACGCCCAGGGGCCGGCACTGCCCTTGCACCGTGTGCCCGCGGGCGGGGCTGGCTCTGATCACTCGGCGGGTGCACAGTAATGTCCCAGCGGGTGCCATGGCACCCGTGGGCACTGCGTTGGGGACCACTGCCCTAATGTGTATGTTCTCTCAAGAATTATATCACCTTTAAACTATATGCAAAGGGCAAACAGCTTTGCATACAATAGCAGAAAAACAAGGAGAAAAGAGGAACATACATTTGCTTTTATTCAGCAAAGCACACGCTTAACTTTAAGCACTGGTCTCATTAACTTCATTGGGACTAATTTTTCACATAAAGTTATTCATGGTTTAACTGTTTTGGATTGAGGCTCAAATGGATTATTTTTTGTTTCAGAAACCGGGTGTGTGATGCTTATTCAGTAACCAATCACAAAAGAGGAAAGGCCTCCTTCTGCCAAAGTCTCTAACATAAAAGTTGAAGTAATGTGTGAACTAATAGAAAGGGCAAGGCTTTCTACAGCCCAAAGGGAAGAGTGAAAAATACTTCCCCAGCCAAAGCCCAGAGTGGGATGTGTTGTGTTGAGTAGAGGTCCTTTCCGGATGTGTCTGTTCCTGCAGACTACCAGATGTTTGTTACCTATAGACCTGTTAGCATCATATCATGACTCCCCTGCCAATTAATAAGACTTCGCTGCATAACGCTCTTAGCTATTGCATATTAGGGCTGTATCCATTCTTGATCCTGGCAGTATTTTAAAGGTCAAGACTAACACCCTACTTGACAGACACAGTCGTTACACACAGGCTTATCTGGAGAAGAAGCATTTTTCCTAGTACCTGCCTTTATCACCAATTTACATGTTCAGGT